CAGCAACCTGTCAAAATAAATGTTTGGTTTAACGTGAAGAAACTGTGTCAGAAATATATTACTATTTAACAGTCTTAAAGGGACTGCTAAATACCAAAAATATATTACTATTTAGCAGTCTTATTATGCTCTTTTACAAAGACTTGATTTTGTTTTGGTGGTGTACTAGAACAGGCTCTCATACTAGGTTGTTCGAAAAACACATTTTTTCGCATTTATTATTATTACAACACCCCTCTCCCTCGTCTGGCATGAATGGCTCGAATAGTTCCTGTATCAGAGTCGTTCGTTGTAGTTTTTGAAAAGTGATTTCTGTTAAATAAAATATCTCCTTTTGAAGTGGACTTTGAGCTTTGCAGATCTTTTTTATGCTCAAACAGCAACATTACAGACTAACTAAAGTTGAAAAAGTGAAAAAGCATAATAGGACCCCTTTAAGACTCAATGTAACAATACTACTACTACTACTACTAATGAATATTAATAAAACTTTTTTTTAAAGGAATAATCACATTTGTTTTCTTTTTAATTTTAACAGTAAACCTCTGTTGTGCAGCACTTTGTTTGCCAAAAAATAAAAGGGTTTAATTTTCATTTGATTAGGATAAATTAATGTTTTATGCCTTCATTTGATTACTAGAAAAATGAAGAAAAACATTTTATAGGTCCCTATTATTGTTAAAAAAAATAGGACCCTATACAAAAAAAATAATAGGTTTAAAATACAGCCCTGTGGCTCTTTATTTCTTTTTATTAATTCACCATTTGTAAACTGATGTTTACTGTTCATTTTTAGAAATATCAATAGCATTTGTATTAAAACTATATTTACTGAATGTAATCAGAAAATTGAGAATTGAATCAAGAATTGAACTGAATCGAATCGAATCGAATCGACAGCTTGTGAATCAGAATCTAACTGAAGCTCACACTGTGCGATTTTGGCCACGATTTGGTCGTCTGAGACAAATTTTGAAAATCCGAAGATTCCTATAATCCTAGGCTAAAATCTGTAGTCTTTGATCGCTGGTTTGACATGTTCACCAACAGCCGATTAATGACCGTTGCGATCAAATTTGACCTCAGACGAACTTCTGGTAGTGTCAGAAGATTTGACGCACAGTCCTGCAGTGTGACTTCTCCTACGACGAACGTCAAACTGTCTTTGTTTTTCAAGACAAGCCATGATCAGAATTAATGCTAGAGATTTCTTCTAACCGCATAAACTCCGGCGCTCTCGTCCTCCGCGCACTGAATAAATATGATACACCAGTTGCCCCGCTGTTTTCATGTGGGTGGATGTTTACTGTTCATTTTTAGAAATATCAATAGCATTTGTATTAAAACTATATTTACTGAATGTAATCAGAAAATTGAGAATTGAATCAAGAATTGAACTGAATCGAATCGAATCGAATCGACAGCTTGTGAATCAGAATCTAACTGAAGCTCACACTGTGCGATTTTGGCCACGATTTGGTCGTCTGAGACAAATTTTGAAAATCCGAAGATTCCTATAATCCTAGGCTAAAATCTGTAGTCTTTGATCGCTGGTTTGACATGTTCACCAACAGCCGATTAATGACCGTTGCGATCAAATTTGACCTCAGACGAACTTCTGGTAGTGTCAGAAGATTTGACGCACAGTCCTGCAGTGTGACTTCTCCTACGACGAACGTCAAACTGTCTTTGTTTTTCAAGACAAGCCATGATCAGAATTAATGCTTGAGATTTCTTCTAACCGCATAAACTCCGGCGCTCTCGTCCTCCGCGCACTGAATAAATATGATACACCAGTTGCCCCGCTGTTTTCATGTGGGTGTGTAATGCTGCTTGCACTATTCTTTTAAATATGCCGGTATTGGCGCCATTCATATACTTTTAATGATATTAATGATAGCCAATATTACAGCCCCGCGGTGCAATTCAGCTCTCAGTCACTGAACGTGTATGGGTTGATAAGTTAAACTCCGAACAAGTTTTCTTGCGCGCACCCGTTTTTAACACGTCTTGACTGTGGTACAGTCTGACATTAATGACAACTGAGATCCCACAGTGTGACATGATCATCATGTTCGTACAGTCTGACAAGTACAATCCTAAAGGACTTTTAAAAAATCCGCACAGTGTGAGCCCGGCTTGAATCGGGACATCTGAATGGATACCCAGCCCTAACTCCCTCATTTACATGTTGCACACGGAAAAGTAAAAATAAATAAATAAACAAATCTGTAAATAAATACAAAGTAAATAAATAACCACATGAAACAAAAACATTGAAAAATAAATGCATAATGCATAATACATAAATGTAATAAATATAAAAATGAATGAAAACAAAAACAAAAAAACAGTCAGGATTAAATTGTATTACAAATTAAATTATATTTGTTTTATAAAGACATTTATTTCTTTATTTTCCTTTTATTACATTTATTTAATTAACTATAGATGTATTTATTTTTAATTTCTGCATGTTTGGGCCTCCATAGAGTGAGCTTCTGCATGAAATGTACAGCTGTTGTTAAAAGCAGTAGAAACTTCATTAAATGCTTCAAAGATAATTGTGAGTTCATTACTCTGTTAGGTGCTTCTGCGCTTGAAATGTGTTTTCCCCAGTGAATAACTTCATATTATATATGCAAGTAACAACTATTTTAACAATTAATTAATTTTTCAATTATTTATTTGATTAATTGGACTAAAAATATATATTTTGTGTATTTTATTAACGTGTCGGCCATTCTGCACATTAAGTACAAAAGAGTTCAAATGTAAACATTACATTTTGGGGGGAAAAAACAAACACAAAAAAAACAGCAAGGTCATGATGTGGAATAACATGCTTTTTCAATACACAAAAGTAATATAGCTATTATCAAATTGATCAGAAAAATAATTAAAATTACTAGTTGCAGCTTAAAACAAACCATTCACTGACCAACAACAGAATTTTTAACAATTCATTACCTTGTCCGAGTGTGATAAGAGGTTCAATGGAGGATGGAGGAGAGGGTCCTCACCAGGTCAGGTTTCCACAGCTGGTGCAGCCAAGGCAGCAGAATCAAGGAAAGAAGCAATATATTAAACAAGCGGTTTCCAACAAGGTGCCCGCATTGAGTCTGTGAGTTGCCATTGTAAAAATCACTCCATCCAACTTGCCATCAGACATCCACTGTGAATCAGGGCTCAAGACTGTATTAACGGTTACAGGAATAATGCAATATAATAACAGAATTATTTTTTGTTATGAAGCTATGGTAGTTTTTGCATTTATCTCCATACTAAATGTGTTTAGGTAACTTTTTTTCATGAATTCCAGACTTGTATAGAAAAGTTTTTTTTTCTTACTGTAAGGTGAAGAGCCATTCATGGTTTTACCTGTGGTTACCATGACCTACAAATGCATGGTACTATGGAATAACATATGGTAAATTTTAATGAGCAAATATAAAGAAAAGCAAAGGCTATAAAGACCCAACTCAGTTGATGTCACGAATCCGGTCCATGAACTTCTGTCTGCTAGCCATCAGAGTTCAGCCCCGTTACAGTTGAGTTGTCAGAATACTTAAATATTTTCATATAAAAATTAGTTTTTTTTTACACTTTAACACAGATGTTGTTTAAACAAATTTATATTCGCAGCCCAACTTAACTTGAGCGCTTTACTGTCACATATCCATTTTCATGAAGAAGAAAACAAATAATCAAACAATTACCGTTGCCACTGTGGCAAATTTATTCTTAAATTGTGTGGCACTGAAATATTCAGGGCAAGTGTAATGTGACACACAGAGAGAAAATGATAAATGTACACATTTCAATATTTTCATAATTTTTTAGGATTGGTTGTTGAATGAAATTTCAAATGCCTAATAAAATATAATAACTAATAAAATAATAAAATAACCTAATAAAATAAAAACTTCACTGAACCAGAAGATATTTTAAAATATCTTCAACATATGGTGATTAAATTATTTGTTAATTGTTATCCACTGTATAGTAAGTGAAGTTTCTTTTGTTTTCATGGTTTTTGTACAAATACACTGAGTCTGTAATTTGATTTACCTGTACAAATAAAAATTACATTGAAAAAAAACATGAGTTTTAAATGAATGCAGCCTAAGAGTGTTTATTTTGTCCAGAAACAGTAATGACGTCTAAATGAGACTGCAGTTGACCTTATAAGACGTTGAAAATTCGTCCACAATGACCACATCTGAACTAACTTTTAACCTCTTAAAGACGTCCTGTGGACGTCAATATTGGACGTCCAAAAGACGTCGAAAAAAGACGTCATAAAAACTTTCATTCTGGCTCTTCAGGGGACGTCATTTCAACGTCCGAAAAAGACGTTGAAATGACGTCGTTTGGACATACCTTTGCTCAGTGGGACGTCACCGTCTGTTATGCGCGAGATACAGATAACCATTATGGACGTCCAAAAGACGTCGAAAAAAGACGTCATAAAAACTTACTTTCATTCTCTTCAGGGGACGTCATTTCAACGTCCGAAAAAGACGTTGAAATGACGTCGTTTGGACGTACCTTTGCTCAGTGGGAACTGCCCTGTCAATCATCTTGTCACAGTTAACATCATCCACATTTCGTTTAATTTGATTTCCTACGGTATTGGAGAGAAATTAAGAGTCACATTGCGGGTCTTTCATGTGAGAACTCTGCTCATGTGTTTGCATAATGATAATTTAAAAGTTAATAACCAAAGTATCATTGTAAGTTCACAATGTTGCTGCAGACGAAATATAATGTGGATAACATAATATTTTCTCATCAGGTTAGACATTGAATTGATTATTTATCATTTAAATCCCTTTCTCTACCCGTCCGTCGGTCGCGCATATCCGCCATGTTTGTAGTTTTTAACACTTTTTATGCGTGTTTGTAGTTCTAATCGAATCCTGGTCCACCGCGCAATGTGTTGTGGGCAATATAAACCGTTAGAGTGCGCATCGATCTGCACTTCGAATTTTAATCTCAAGTAGTAGACCATCTGGGAATCTTTGGCATGCTGTTTTCAACATACCGGTAATATGATTTGGAACATACTAATTCTAGTTTCGAATACTATTTAGGATGGATAGTATGCGATTGGTACGCAGCACAACACAGGAATTACGCAACATACGTCATTTCCCATGCTAGTAGTAAACAGGAAGCGCACTGATACCGTAAGGAGACGTCAATTGAAAGGTACTTTTTAAATATAATAACATCGAATAATAGTTTCGTCTAGGAATTTAACCATATGAGATGTATAATTGTTTTTGCATGGGGGCAGAAAAGAAGCTATATTAGCTGTCTATCGAACTTTATTGAGATCTTTAAAGCTATAAATTATGGTGGCATAGTGAATGGAGCGGCTAACAAGACAAACCTTGAGAAATTAGACAGAATACGATGTAGAACTTCAATAATCTAGATAAGAGCCATAAAAACACCCGAATAAATGTAATATTAGTTGAAGTTAATGATAATGTCGTTTGAATTGCTAAGAAATTAGCACTTGCATATTTGTTTTGATTGCAAGTTGAAGCTATACATTTTTCTGCAACATTCTCGAAAATTATTATATGAAAATTAACCATGGTTTTATTGTAGTAAAAGTGTAGTAACCATGGTTTTTGGCGTATTGATTACCATTTGTAAAACCACAGTTTTACTACAAATACCATGGTTAAACTATGGTTATTGTAGCAAAACCATGGTTAATTTGTAGTTACCATGGTCTAACTATAGTAACCATGATTTTTTGGTTTTATTTGTGGTAAAACCATGGTTAATTTTCGTAAGTATTTGCATTGAATATAGGTAAGATAATTGAAGTGATTGAAAATAGATTAAATTATTTGACAGTACTGTTTAACAATTTTTTGTTTTCTTTTCAAAATAATGTTAATACCAATAGCAATGACATTCAGCAGCTCTTTAGATGTATAGCCTATGTATGTATGTATGCATGCACATATATATGTGTGTATGTGTATATATATATATTCTCTGGAAAAAATTAGGAGACCACTCCAAATTTTTCTTAAATCAGCATCTCTACATGTGTGGCAACCATTCCATTCCAGTGTCTGTTGATTTCCAACACAGGCACACCTCATTCTGCTTAAATAATTACTGATTAGGTGATCACCTCAACCAAATCTTATTTAATGAGGAAAAAGTATACAAACCATCACTGTCCTCTTGCTCCAGCACCAGCTGGATGGAAAAAACTGTGCTAGCAGTACCTCAAATAACCTCAAATAATAACAACTGACCATGCCAAAAGAGGTGAACAGAAAAGTTTTGAGTGAAGAAAAAAATGGGTTTACATTTAGTCATTTAGCAGACGCTTTTATCCAAAGCGACTTACAAATGAGGACAATAAAAGCAGTTTGCAGCGGCATTTTGGATTAATTGTAGAGGTTTGATAGAAGTGGCTGGAAGACCTGCCAAGAGAGCATTGCAATAGTCCAGCCTGGATAGAACAAGAGCTTGAACAAGGAGTTGTGTTGCATGTTCTGAAAGAAAGGGCCTAGTTTGAATCTGGCTTTACTAGCAGAGGGACTCATATCGTTCGGCAACGATAATTATTGACATTTTTTATAACCTTTTTTAAAACAAAGAGCAATAGAAAGAAATGTTTAAATTTAACCACTATATTTTTTAATTAACCCAATTTATTGAGACAAACAACAAATATTTTTTGTTTTAACAATGAAACACAAAATAAAAATTAAACAAATATCTAATTTCTAATGTTTTATATGCAGATTAAATAGGTTTTAAGGAAACTTTTGTCTTGTCTCCCGAGTCCACAGGAGGGCGCAATGAACAAAATAATGCAGCGCATTTAAATTGTCAACGCAAGAAAGTAACTCTATAAAAAAACGTGCGTTATGTCTAAATTAACTTATAAAATCAAATATAATTTCGTAAATTGCATAAACAATTATGAACAAAACAGCATCATGTATTTATGCATTGCTTAATCCAAAGAGCCGAAGCGCCATTCACACAGATTTCATTTAAAATCATATGAGACGCAGTGAAAAGGAATAAACCTCCACAAATTCGTGACGTGTTTTCTAAAAGTTTAAACTGTTTTAACTTTGCATGGCTACATCTCTTGTGTGAGACGCGAGTGCAGCAGTCATATTTGTCCGTCTAAAAAATTAGCTGAATATGTGTTCTGTGTGAATGGCTTGTTTTCGGTTTTAACCATAGGCTGTATAAAAACAGGTTTTAAGCTTATCAAGATCTTCTCTGCATTGAGCTCCTATATTTCTCTAATATTTTGAATGAATAACGCAGCAGTGGCGCGTCTCATGGGCTAGACTAACAAAACATTAAAATGCAACAATGTCACTTACATCATCATCACTGCATCTTGTGCTCCACTGATGATGCTCCTTGACGCACACCTAACATTGCAAATGTTTCTAATTCATTCTTTATTTATAATCTCCTCATCACAGGCAGGCACAGCACTCGTTTCAGCATGTGTTCATGTTTGTGTGTGCTGTCTGCGTCACTCATAGCACGTGCCTATATCGTGAGCTGTATCGAACATTTTTTCTATCGTTATCGAAGAAGGTGTACCGTCGATGAATATCGATACCGTTTTATCGCCCAGGCCTAGTTGTAAGCACTTTGTTTTATTATCTGTCCTGACAGTGACTGTTTTTTATTGAATTAATAAATAGGATAAGCAAAAATCACAAACTGTTTCTTTGTATTTATTTTAAATTTATTGTCAGGCCCACGTGGGTAGGGAACTCTTTATTGTGTGTGTATGGATGACCGTCAGCCACCACCGAAGACCATTTTTGACCCAGGAAAATTTCAATTGGATTAAGGTCCGGAATTTGACTTCCGACTTAATGTTTTTTCCAAATATTAACTTTGTTCTTTTTTTAACCATTCGTTGGTAGAACGACTTGTGTGCTTGGGGTCGTTGTCTTGCTGCATGACCCATTTTCTCTTGAGATTCAGTTCTCGGACAGATGTCCTGACGTTCATGGGTAGTCGTGGCCTAATGGATAGAGTCGGACTTGTAACCCGAAGGTCGCAGGTTCGAGTCTCAGGTCCGGCAGGAATTGTCGGTGGGGGGAGTGAATAACCAGCACTCTCTCCACCCTCAATACCACCCTTGAGCAAGGCACCGAACCCTCAACTGCTCCCCGGGCACCACAGCATTGGCTGCCCACTGCTCCAGGTGTGTGTTCACGG